TACCAAAAGAGTGAAGTCTCTCCAATTCACACCGGGGCAGGTGGTTCTGAAGAAAATCTTTCCTATCAAGAAGAAGCCAAAGGAAAGTTTGCACCAAACTAGCAAGGTCCTTACGTGGTTCACCGAACTATTTGGTGGAGCTCTAATCCTGGCAGAAATGGATGGAAGAGTCAAAAGAAGCCTATCAACTCAGACGCAATCAAAAAATACTATGCCTGAAGACAAATAGAGTTAGGGTTTTTGATGTAATAGAACTCGTTCAACCTGACTTCCCATGGAGGGATACGTAGGCAACCCTCATAGGGTTCAGTTTCTCTCTCCCCTTTCTCTTGTAATAGAAAAACCAAATATCACTTTTGTATGTTGCTCAGGATCTACGCCGACTTGATTTCCTCAGAAAGGAATACGTAGGAAATCCTCATCGGATTCAGTCGTCTTTTGTAATTGTACTACGAAACCCTTCTCTATTCTCTGCATATTTCATAAAAAATGTTGGTTGCCTCTCTCTCTCTCTCTACCTCCCTTTCTCTCTCTCTCTCTCTCTCTCTCTCTCTCTCTCTACTGAATCTTTTAGTTCAATTTAAAGGTCATATTGCTTCCTTCCATAGCTGTCTCCTGCCATTAGCCAATATCGTTTCGTGTTGGTTGTCGCCTCTCACTCTCTCACCGTCAACTATCATCATCAGGTCTATCTTATCATTAAGTGATTTAGGGATGACTAATTGACTATAACATATTGGATTCAGATTAATCTTGTGTCACGACCCAAAATCCCACCACAGGAGTCGTGATGGCACCTAATCTCTAAGACTAGGTAAGTCGATTCTCATTGCATTTTGAAGCCATTTTTTTTAATTAAATAAGTAACCAAAACTAACATCGAAAATAATTACAATATACAACCTCCCAAGACTGGTAGTACTGAGTCACGAACTCTAACTGAATACATAGAATGATCACGAGGACCGAATATACAATACTGTTTGATTACAAGTTAACAGTACAATGAAATGAAAGGATTCCAAGGAACTGCGACGATCAAGCAGCTCTACCTTGAATCCTTACGATCCCGCTTTAACTCTGCTCAAATCCGTTATCTTCAATACCTAGCTGTGCACAAAAATGTACAAAAGTGTAGAGTGATCACACCACAGCGGTGCCTAGTAAGTATCAAGACTAACCCCAATGGAGTAGAGACGAGGTACAATCAAGACACTCACTAGTCTAATAACATGTGCAATATAATATACAAAATAACAGGGAACAAATAATAATAAGGGCAGGATAAAACAACCAGTGATATGCACAACAGACAACAAGAATACCATTAATATCACTCAACAATTAATAAACACAATTACACCCAATTAAATCAAGCCCTTCAAATAAATGTATTTCACATAGTTCTTCCAGATAACTCTCTTTCAAATATAATTCTCTCAAATAATTATTTTTCAAATATAATTCTTTTAATAAATCTTTTTAAATACAATTTGCTCAAATAAATATCTTTCAATATACAATTCTTTTATATATTACTTTCTAAGTAAAAATCCTTCCAAATAATTATTTTGAATATAATTCTTTCAATTAAAAAAAAAAAGTCACCATGTGACAGCTCATTTCAAAATCATCAAAAATACGGGTCTCAGCCCATTTTCATATTTTTCGTAAATACGGGTCTCAGCCCATTTTCATATTTTTACGGTACCTTGTGCCCATAATTAAATCATCATATTTTTCCGGCACCTCGTGCCCTCATTTTATATCACAATTGTATGGACAATTCACGTGCCAAATATTATTATTATTTCATCACAGCACCTCGTGCCCATATTTTTATATCACAACTGTACGGACAATTCACGTGTCAATATCCCCATCTCATATCACAATTCACGGCACCTCGTGCCCATATTTTATTTTATAAACCGCCTGGCAATAGCCACAGGCTCCCAATTTCAACCTAAATCAGATTATTATCAATTTACTAACAACTAGACAAATTGCACAAGATATACAAATAAATACAAGAAAATCACATCACATGAAAATTGTCAACATCACACCCCACATCATCACATATCGTCCCTGACAATAGCCACCCTTATCGCTCCTATTGCCACCCTTATCGCTCCGCCCAGACAATATCAATAGCCACCCTTATTGCTCCTATTGCCACCCTTATCGCTCCTTTAGCCACCCTTATCGCTCCGCCCAGACAATATCAATAGCCAACAAACACAACAGTGAAATGCCACCCTTATAACCACATAATATCGACGGTCAAATGCCACCCTTATCTCCCCAAAATAACAACTCACACAACACAACATTTTACATGAGAAATTTATCACAACAAACAACAACAACAACAACAAAAATTAATTCATATCATAATTTGCTCAATGGCCACAACCAAATTTTAAAGCTACAACCAAGTCAATTAATTTCACAGCAAATAGCCAAATACTCCACACAATGTGTACAACACCCATAAACAATCAATAGAGATAGAAATTACTCAACACAAAGAAAAGTCTTCATAAAAGATTAAATTTTTAATAATTATATAAACATCTCTTTTTAAGCTCATTTAATTAATTATTTGCAGAGGAAAAAATCCAAAATGAAATTAAATTTCAATAATTATCAAACAAGCAAATTCACGATATTTCATAAATAATCAAATAACAATCGCATCACATTGTCATATAACAACAGAGTCAACAACAAGGGTTTAGGCACAACAAGTAGATGATTAAACACATGCCAACAATTATCCAATTTACTACACAATATGCTCAAGACTTTTAACTCAATAAAATTTGCACATATAAACCAAGTACGTACTCGTCACCTCGCGTACATGATTTTCAATTACCCAAGTTGCACATAAGACTCAATGCCTAAAGGAAATTTCCCCCACTTGAGGTTAAGCAAGACACTTACCTCTTTGAAGTTATGCCAATATTTCAAAATCGCCTTCTTGCTTGAATTGACCTCTTGACAGTTCAAATCTATCCAAATTAATTGTATAACTTCATTAAAACTCATCGAAAATAATTCCGAATAATAATACGTCGACTTAAAAATTTATTCCAAAAATTAACAAAAGTCAACGCGGGACCCGCCTCTCGGAACCCGACATAATTTTCATGAAATTCGAACACCCATTCCGATACGAGTTCAACCATACCAATTTTATCGAATTCCAATAATAACTCGGCTTCCAAATCTTAAATTTTCGCTTTTGGAAAATTTTACAAAAGTATTGATTTTTCCTCCATTAAATCCGAATTAAACGATGGATTCAAAGAAATAATCATGAAAATTAATTAAAATTGGATAAGAATCACTTACCCCAAACACCCACGCAAGAATCTCTCTAAAAATTGCCTTCTGCCGAGCTCCAACTTTGATTTTGAGTTATGAACTCAAACCCCCATTTTTGGGACTTTTAATTCTGCCTAGATAGGCCTTCTTCGCGTTCGCGACCATTGCCTCACGTTCGCGAAGACCAAAACCCAACTGCCTCAAATCCTTCATCGCATTCGCGACCTCCTAGTCGCGTTCGCGAAGGCCAATTGTTTATGCCCCATCATTTCCTCTTCGCGTTCGCGAACCCCTCGTCGCGTTCGCGATGACCAGCTGATCAACTCCTTCGCGTTCGCGTTCGCGTTCCACGCTTCGCGTTCGCGAAGGCCAAACGACCCCAGGCCCTATCTTCCTTTCTTCTTCGCGTTCGCGTTGCCTGGTCCGCGTTCGCGAAGGCTTGCCATGCTCCTTCTTCGCATTCGCGTTCACAGCTTTGCGTTCGCAAAGGACAATTCATCAGCCCCTCAAATTCCTCTTCGCGGACGCGAGACTCCCTTCGCATTCGCGAAGAAGAAACCAGACTTCAGCAACAGCAGTCCAAACAACTCCAATTTGGTTCGAAACTACCCCGAAACACATCCGAGCCCCTCGGGACCCCGTCCAATCATACTAACCAGTACCATAACATATCACGGACTCGCTCAAGGTTTCAAATCATATCAAATTTACGCCGAAAATATAAATCGCACTACAAATCGAACTTATGAACTTCAAAAACTTTCAACTTCTAAAACTCGTGCCGAAACCTATCAAACTAACCCGGAATGATATCAAATTTTGCAGACAAGTCCCAAATAACATAACGGAGCTGTTCCAACTCTCGTAATTGAATTTCGACCCCGATATCAAAAAGTCAACCCCCGGTCAAACTTTTTAAAATTTTGAGTTTCACCATTTCATGCTTAATTCCACTACGGACTCCAAATAATTTTTCGGACACGCTCCTAAGTTCAAAATTATCATATGGAGCTAATGGAACCGAAGGAACTCCATTCCGGAGTCGTCTTCATACAGTTCCGACTACGGTCAAAATCCTAAGACTTAAGCTCCCTCTTTAGGAACTAAGTGTCCCAAATTACTCCGAATCATCCGTAATTCAAACTCGACCACAAAAGCGGGGTCATAATACATATTGCGAGGCTATTCGAAACCTTAAGTTACTGAACATGGCATAAATTCTTAAAATGATAAATCGGGTCGTTACATCTTGTTTTCTAAGTGTATGGGTGTATTTGTGTTTGGCTAAATGCATTATATATATATATATGTGTGTTCCTTTCAATTAACTCAATTATTCCATAATATAAGTAATCTGCTTTAAAATACTTGCTCATCACTAGAAAATGCATTGCTGATTTTTTTATTTGTTCTCTTTGTTTCTTCAAGAAAAGTTGTGATGAAAACAATAACTCATGTAAAGACATTTTGAACTTCCAAAGTTGTGGTCCAAAGCTCTTTAATGATGATTAAAATCTCATCTAACTATTTTATAATATAATGATATATAAAATAAAATAAAATAAACTTATTGGTGAAGAATGAATAAATGTTAGTTTAAATTTAAGTTTAATTAAATTATTTTTCTAATTCGAATTTAATTTGGTAATCCAGTTTACGTTACAATGAAGAGATTTTATCCTCTGGTATCTTCCAAGTTGCCACAATCAAGTTCATCCTCTCTAATTACTATTTCCGTGGAAGAAAATTTGAACAAATTAGTAGAACAACCTCAATCCTCTAAAAAACAAAGACAAGGAATAGATCTCGATTCTTTAAAGACTGATCCAAAAGAGAGATTACCCATTAGAGACTTTCATCCAAATGAGCGTGATGAGATTAGAAGAGGACCTTGCCAACCCCGATATCATAAGTTTCTTCAAAGAGATTTTTCGGGCTTAAAGCGCTGTTTCAATCCTAAATGGTTTAAAAGATATCATAATTGGTTGGAGTATAGTGTGATAGAAGATGAAGCTTATTGTTTGTATTGTTACTTATTTCAAGATGAAGGCATTCATCAAGGTGGAGGTGATGTATTTTTAAGTTTAGGATTTAAGAGTTGGCACAAAAAGAACAGATTAGATATGCATGGGTCGAGCAGTATTCATAATCAGGCAAAAAGAAAATGTGAAGATCTATTAAAACAAAAACAGTCAATTCAAACTTCATTTGATAGGCAATCCACTCAAACCAAGCTCGAATACAAAATTCGCTTGAAGGCTTCAATTGAGGTGGTAAGACTCCTATTGAATCAAGGATTGGCATTCCGTGGACATCGTGAAGATGGATCATCATTAAACAAGGGTAACTTTCTTGAGATTCTTTCATGGTATGCAAAGAGGTGCGATAAAATTCGTGATCTTGTGTTGAAAAAGGCTCCAAAGAATGATTAGTTGACTTCTCATAAAATTCAGAAATACATTATCATTGCATGTAAAATTGAAACAGTTAAAGCAATTATGGACGATCTAAATGAAGACTTTTTTGGTCAAATCTACAAGGACTTGTTGATCTTTCTGAAACACTAGTTAAGACAAAGAAGCATTTGAATTATCCATTTGTGTATCGCCTTATGAAATTTGCTTTGCTTCTACCTGTTGCCACTGCTACCGTTGAAAGAACTTTTTCGGCAATGAAGTTGATCAAGAGTGAATTGCAAAATCGAATGAATGACGAATTCATGAGCGGTTGCTTGGTACCTTATGTAGAAAGAAAAATATTTAATACTATTTCTGATGAAACTATTATGAATACGTTTCAGGAAATGAAAACTCGTAGAGGACAGTTATAATAATATATTTTATTAATATATTTTTTTGTTGACCTCTTTATATATTTGCTTCTTCGCATTTTGAACCCGTTTGATAAAAATCCTGGGTCCACCACTGTCGATATATATNTATTAGCAATCATGCTAATTGCTAAACGAGTGAAAGAACTACAAGAGTATTCTCTTGGTGTTAAATCTCTTTGATAATTCTGTACAAATAAAACAAGCATCGAGGTCGAGCATATGCACCATCATCTAGTACATCAATATCCCGACGATTTTCATATTTAGGGGAGCAATATTCCATTTTCAGAGTAGACTTCAAATACACAAAAATACGACGGCAACATTATTGTATTTGTTCATCAAGATTGGGCATAAGTTGGCTGACATAAGCAAAGATTTATTCGTCTTTTAAGTGTGCCAATGTACATCAATCTTCTCACGAACCCTAGTATCTCCCTTTATCAACTGGTACTTGGTTAGTTCGCTACGTACATAACTTAAGATCTTATTTTTCGATGAAATATTAGTTTGACATGTTGTCATATCAGTTTCTTGCTGTTAATTTAATAGTACATATTTTCATTAAGATATAAGAAAATTTCTTCCTTGCATCTAAAACTTTAATTGCAAGAAGATAATTCAAGGAGCCAAGAACTTTTATTTCAAATTTTATAGAGATATTCTTGCGAAGTCTTCCTTTCTTTTTCCTAGTAAGTTATAACCATCATAGTATCCACATATATAATGAGAGCAATAATCTTATCATGTTGTTTCTTAAACAATAAAACATGATTTGAGTTGCTTTAATGGTATCCAAATACTGTTACAAACTTTATGAATTATCCGAACAATGCTCTTGGACATTGTTTAAGCTCATACAACAAGTTCTTTATGTCACAACTTTTTATTTTGTCTTTTTGATACAACCTCGCAGAAATTTTATATAAATTTTCTCAAATAACTTTTCATGTAAAATATATTTTTTTACATCAAATTAATTGTAGCTCGTCTAAATTTACAGTTAATACGATAATTTTAGGAAGATGTTGATTTTAGCGAAGGTGCAAAATTTGGGTCATGATCGGCCTCTTAATTCCTTAGCTAGTTAGACCACTGTAAAAATTGCACAAATATTATACTTTTTGGGGTAATATTTAACTTTTAATCCCTGCTTGCCCTACGAATTGAATTAACTTCAAGGTCAAAAGTTAAAAGTGTTTCAAATGGGACAAAAAGTCAAAACCATTCACTTTGAGGACTATTTATGTACTTCATCCGCTACCCCTTCAGATTCTCAACCGGACTGACATGGACTTATGGCCTGTTTGGCCAAGCTTCTCAAGAGGGGAAAAAATATTTTTTTCTTCTCAAAAGCACTTTTCCCTAACTTGAGGTGTTTGGCCAAACTTTTTTTGGGGAAAAAAGTGCTTTTTGGGAAGAAGCAGAAGCAGAAGCAGTTTTGACTTTTTTTCTTACCAAAAATACCCTTAACAAAATATAGTATATTCCAAAATAACTGTTAAATCTAATACTTATGATATTAATGTATAGATATTTCTTATTATTTTTAGGATAACTTTCTAATATATAGTGACTTTTGGGGTGAATGCTTTTATATTTGTTGAATGATTTTTAATATATTTAACTTATATTAAAAGAATTAAGTACTTTAAAATTTTATTTTCATATTTTACTTAAATAAAATAAAAAAATTCAATTATTGCCTGTAATAATAAATTTTTAAGATTATTTATTTATTTATAATATTAACTATTAAGCAAATTTATTCATGTCCTTATTCGTAATTTGATACTTAAAATTACTTTCTGAAAAGCTTGGCCAAACACAAATTATTGCTCAAAAGTGCTTTTCAGAATGATTAGCCAAACACAAACTGCTTCTCTGCAAAAATACTTTTGGAAAAAACAATTCTCAAAATAAGCTGATTTCTCCCGCTTGGCCAAACATGCAATTAATCTGCCGTTCAAAATATTGGGTCGGGTCGGTATCGGTCGGCCCAATTGACAGGCAATTGGAGGAGGGGGAGAAAAGCAAGTTTTGTAATTTCTAAAACTAGTAGGAGGTGTGTGGATTATGACAAACTTCAGACCAAAAATATAAACCCTTAATTTCTTCTCCGTCGAACGGAGACGCACTGAGAATTTCAGCTCAAATTCGGATTTCCCATAAAGGCTTCAACCCTTGGCACCGCACTGGGATTATCGACTGCCAACGAGGGTTTGAGTTCTGTTTGTTATTTTCGTAATTAGGTTCGTCCCTTCTCTCCTTGTCACTTAAATTAATCTTTTTCTTTTGTGACCATAGATTAATGAAACGAGCTCAAATAGAGCGGAATGATATAGAGGACTTATATAACGGACATAATTAGTTTGAGATTGAGGTTTAAATTGATTGATTGATTGACTACCAAGGTTGATATTTTTTTGGGTACATCTGGAAAGCATGAAACTCAGTTTTGTTTGGAACAAATGAGCTGTAGGATGATTTAATATAATTGGACCATTTGGGATGTTGTATGTTACAGTTGAACTAATTATCTTCAACTAATACTATGAAAATTGGAGGTATAAAACTGGCAATTCAGAAAATTTTCTCTTGAAATAGGAAAGGGATCTGTGTTAAGAAACCAAAGCTGCATATGATTTTGTGGGCATTATTTTCTTAAGTCACGGGAAGGTAATAGTTTGGTCTAGAAAATTGTCTGCTTGGCCTCTTGAAGTGAAGGGGATGTAGCATGTTACTGCTGGGAGTTTTGGGTTTCTGAGTTTTTGGATTTGCTAACAGGATAGTAAATGGAGGGGTAAGCTACTTGCTATAAGGAACAAATACAGTGTCAATTCCCCAGAGGATCTGTCCATTCCAACTTTCCAAGTGCTCCAACTTCTTTTTTCTTTTGAAACCATGTGGCAATGCTATTCTTTTCCTGCATTCTGTCATCTGCGATATATCCTGTAAAACAAGTCTTATCTTCCTTGATTTTATTTGATAGAATGTACTAAAGTTTTGTACTCTTTTGGATGCCTATTATATGTTTAGTAATTGTACATCTTGTTCGCAGGTTCCTCCTACAATCTCTCAATGGGAAGCAAAGGTCGAGGGCCACCTCCCAACCTTCGGCGGCCACCTCCTGGCCCTGGCTTGGTGCATCCTGATCCTTATGGTCCTCCTCTACGCAACCCTGATCCTTATGGTCCTCCTATACGAAACCCACCACCAGGTGATTTCCCTCCTTTTGACAGGCTACCTCCTCCAGAAATTATGGAACAGAAGATTGCTGGCCAGCATCTTGAGATGCAAAAACTTACCACAGAAAACCAGAGGTTTGCTGCCACCCATGGAACTTTGAGGCGAGAACTGGCTGCTGCACAACATGACCTGCAAATGTTGTATGTTCAGATAGAAGCAGTCAAGTCTAACAAGGAACAAGAGACTAGAGGCCTTAAGGATAAAATTGCCAGGATAGAGGCTGAACTTCAAGCTGCTGAACCTATCAAAACGGAATTGCCGCAAGCACAAGGTGAAGCTCGCGCTTTGTTTGCAGCAAGGCAGGAACTTGTTGCTAAAGTGCAACTGCTGACTCAGGATCTTCAAAGGGCTCACACTGATGTGCAACAGATTCCTCCTTTGTTGGCTGAGCTGGAGACCCTAAAAAAGGAGTATCAACAGTGCCGGTAATTATTTGATAACTGTCTCTTTTTACAAGCTAACAACTGACGTAATTAGACCTGCGATGAATGCCCAGATTCTGGAAGGAAAAGTTACCCTTTTTGCTAAGGTACATCCATAGTACACTATCCTTCAGAAACCTTTTAGTGTACACATTGGTTACTTCCTCCAAAAACTAGATTACAGAAATAGTTGTATATATGTCTGTTTCAAGAGTAATCCTCAATGAGACTGTGACTCCCTTTTGGGCGTAAATATTCTTTAAGCATAATAAACTTCCAATTAATATGCAGGTTGACTTTAGGGACTTCCAAAATTATAAAACATCTAAATTTTTATCTATAAGCTGTGAACTTATATATGCATCAGCCTTGGCCAGAAGCAAAAGGTTTTCTTTGGGAAAGCTAGCAAGACTTAAGGAAAGAAAAGCAATATTTGGCCAGCATGGGTTGAAAACCTTGTGTAGCAAAATTAGGCATTACGGTCAGCGCATTTGTAGGTTTTAGTTTCAACGATACAAAAGGTTATCTTTGGATATCAAGAATCATAAGATCACTGAACCTTTTTGGAAGATTTGGTAAACTTGAATTAAAAAGGAAGATGAGAATTTCATGCTTCATCTCCCCAAAGAATGGTGTCTCATAAATAATGTTCGGACCTATAAAATTTTCTAGGCTTCACGTACTGAAAAAGTTGGGTCCTTGAAAACCGTTGACCATTTAAAGGATTAGATTTCTGTTGTGGCTTAATCAAATTGTCCTAACCCCAAAGTTAAACTCATTAACTTTCCTATATAAGCTGCTCTTAAGAAAGTACTGCTGCGGTATATTGATTCAAGTCAAAGATGTCCTTTTTTGTTCTTTTAGATTTAACTGTTGGAATATTCTTACCCATGGCAAACTAAAAATTTTATGATGGGTTTTAAGACAGTAATTGTAAAAGCTATTGAATGGAAGAAAATTGACAAGAGAACCTTACATAAAACAGTACATACCAAAGGAAATTGCTCTCTCTTCTCTCTCTCCCCTTCCCTCCCTCTCTATGCCTGGTGCCCATAGCCCGCTTCACCCCCACCCATCCAGCCCATTGTGATATGACTTGCTAGTATTGCACCTTCTATTTTCAGGACCAAAGCTAATCTGAGCAATTATTAGTCACTTGTATCATGGATTGGTTCTTATATGAGTTTTTCCCAAGGATCATGGTTCCGAATTACCATAGGTTTTTTCTCTTACCAAGCGGGCATCATCATGGATCAGATTCCCTCCACTAAATTAGAACAGAGTTGTTCCAGTCGAAAAATGTGAAACAAACAAATCTTGACAGGGCGAGTATTTGTACAGTATCAATTGGATATCTCACTGTGGTTATCGCCACACGAATTTGATGTAAAAGATTTAACTCAGTGTCTGGGCTGGTTCATTTTAGATTTATATTAGGTATATGAGGTTAAATTATTTAGGAGACGCTTCAAGGATGTCAGACACATAGCTTGTCATGTGCAAGCATTGGAGAGGCGAGGGGAAATAATGTTTGGTAATGCTTTTCAATGAATGCTAACTTCTTGTTTGATCGAAAGATGTCTGATATTCTGTAATTCGGTTAACAGGAGTACCTATGAGTATGAGAGGAAATTGTACAGTGATCATCTTGAATCTCTTCAAGTGATGGAGAAGAACTACATGACTATGTCCAGAGAAGTGGAAAAGCTTAGGGCAGAGTTAAACACTTCTAACTCTGAGAGACGAACGGGTATCACATCTGTTTAGCCACTACTCTCTCTTTTGTTTTGGTAATTATACTGGACGTAGTAGTTGCAGAAAACTTAACATTTATGGTAATACATATGCAGGTGGGCCATATGGTGGTGCCACTGGATATAATGAGAATGATACTGCTAACAATTATGCTATTGGACAAAACATCTATGGAGATGGTTATGGAATTCATCAGGTTTTAAATCTGTCATTGTTCATGTATTAGTTAGTTCTACAATGATTCTTCTCATATTGATGAAGTTGAAAAGTTGTTATGTAGTTTTAAATGCTATCTTTATGCTTCAAGTTCTCCAGAGTTCTCTAAATTATGATCATCAGAATTGAGCTGGTAGAAATTAGTACTACGTATGTAATCTTTGTGCCTTATCAAAAAACAATGTATGTAATCTGTGTTCTCTTTTTGAGCAAAACTATTCGTTGAAGAGACAAAAAATGGGAGAACAGGGGAGAAAATAAAAACAAGGGGAACAAAGCTGTGAAGTGAAATTTTTAATAATCAGTTTACCTACTTAGATTTTGACTCTTAAATCCAGGGTGTACTTTTTCCTCTAACATTAGCCAACTCTTTCTGGTAAGTGCCTGAATATTGCTATCGATTCATCAGTCATGGATATTTTAGATTTGGACTTCCTTTTCCGTTTGAACATTTATATTTCCTAATCAAATTTGGTTCAGGTGAGCCATCTGAATTTCATTGATGTAAAGTTAAAAGGAACATTTCCATAAAAAGCACTCTGACGTTTCTTGAAATCAGGTTAGGCTTTTAAAAAGTTTAAGCTAGATCACTGCAATAACTCATTTGATTATTATCTATAACTACCTTTAACCAAATGGTGTTACTCGAAACATGCTATTGTATTCATTCTATCACCCAACTTATTTTGCTGAGTAGAGGTGTATGGTTCAATTATTTGAAGTCCAATAGACTTGAACTTCAGAATAAGCGGATAAGAGGAATTGAAGTCTGCTATTCAATATTATAGAGAGATTGAAGTCTCTTGTTTTTACCAAAACTGTCTCCTGCCCAAATTCTGGATTAAATGAATGTTCTCCTTTATTATTATTTGTTGAGTGCCAAATGCTAATCTTATCTCTTCATTCTACTTGGCAGGGCAGAGGCCCCCTTCCAACAGAGACCAATGTTGGAGGAGTTGCTGCGGTTACATCTCCGCATGTTGGAGCTCAGTCTGTACCTCCGTCGAACAGGCCTCCTTATGATGCATCAAATATGCCCGGATATGATGCACAACGGGGAATGGTACCAAGTGGTCCCGGCTATGATGCACAGAGAGGATCCGCTTTAGCAGCTTATGAAGCTCAGAGGGGGCATGGATATGATATAATGAAGGGACCTGGATATGATGCTCAGAGGGCAGCAGGTTATGAAGCTTATGGAGGACCTGGCTATGATGGATACGGGGCACCTGTTTATAATGCGCAGAGAGGATCGGGCTATGATGTGCAAAGGGGAGCCAATTATGATCCCGCCAAGGCCTCTAACTATGATGCATCGAATAAAGGAGGTGTTGCAACTCAAGGACAGGTAGCACCTACGAGTAATAACCCTCACGGTTCATCTACTCCACCTGGTCATGCTGGTCCTGGATATGATGCAGCAGCACAAGGTGGAAATCCAGCACGTAGATGATTTCAGCTCCAATTTTGTGTTATTTAATGAGGAATATTATTATCTTCAGCATTCACTTCAATTTACTATTAGCAGCAACCCCTAGATCTATTTACTGCATCATGCGACTTGAGGCTGGTCAATGTAAAAGAAGGAAATCTTGCTTGTAGATGAGCCTCATTGATTAAGTTTTAACCATAATTGATGTTTCTTTTAGGAGTCTCTAAGAGTTCATATTTCACATGTAATTGAGGTCGGTTTACATGTAGACGTTCGTTGCGACCATCCTTTACATGTCAATGATGTTATAATGATAAAAATTGCTTTGAGAAAAGTTTAATAAAATTAACAATTTGAAGAATCTAATTATATATTAATATACAAGCATTTCTCCTCTATAGAATGTTGCTCTATATAGTCTCTTTTCTTGCATATAAATATTTAATTTAAGACATTAAAACGTAGTTTTCAAATTTCCTTTCAGGTTTTCTAAAGAAAATTTCTAGTGTATAATTTAAGCTCGCTCTACATAATTGGCTAATTAACAATTTGAAATTGACAAAGTGATAAAATTATTCTACTCAGGACGTGATAAAATTTTCCTAAACTAAGCCAAAATACCTTGTTAATGTAGTCCATGAAAATGTCATACGAAATATATGGGTATACGAAAAAAATGTTAGGAGACAATCTAATAATCAAGATGTTACGATTTAAATAGCAGTGCATGAGTTCGAATCTAAGTTGTCTCACAAATCACAATCAGTATTGCATAATGTGGCATCTCATACTTTGTTTGCTGGTATGTGAGAAAACAGGAACTTTTGTCTGGTTAACACCATAGAAAAATATGGAGAAAAAAAAATATCTTCTAAAAAGGTCGGACCATGAAAAAAATTCGGATCCGACCCGAAAATTCTTTCATGATTTTATTCAAAAACCGCGTGCTTACAAATCGACAAATTCAAAATTCCCCTTTCCCGGCAAAGCCATTACTCTTGCAGACCTTCCATGGAAGAGGAGGATGCGAATCGGCGGCATAAAAAAGGTAAAAACACTTGCTGCAATTTTAAGGAACAGCATCTATATGCTATTTAGGGCTCAATTTTAGGCCTTTCATTGTTTTATCTGGTATACAATATTTCTGAAATCCACATTCTTTTTTGTAATCAGTGCGCGGGCATTTACCTATCCGAGGCATGGAGTCAGTGATAGCTACAGTCAGTGGTTACCACGGTACCGAGCGATTTAATCTTATCAAATTGATAGACAAGAGTGGTGCAAGTTATGTCGGTTCAATGAACCAGTCGACCACTCATTTGGTATGTCAGTCTTTCACAATCCCAATTCAATTATTAATCAGAAAATTTCTTAAACTCTCTTTGTTATGTAAAAAGAGGAATTCTATTGGATTCTGCAAAGAATTGAAAGTGTAAAATATTTCCAGAGGTGGATCTAGCATTTGAACTTTATGGTTTTGAGTTCAGGAGTCTACATCCCATTTGATTTACTGCATATTATTTGTACTTAATTAGTGAAACTTTAACACATATACAAGTTCTGAGCCAAAGATATTGGGTTCGGATGAATCCATAATATATACACTACATCCGCCCCTGAACATCTCATATTTCACTAAGTACAATAGAAGAAAACATAGAACTTTGGTTCAATAAATCTCCATACTATAATCCCCCCCAAAAAATTTAAAATAGAACCTTTGGGCACAATGGGATAGTCTAGTGGACAGGAAGGAAGAAGCCACAATAACAACCATGGTGTCACGAGTTCAAATCTCAGTGGCTATTGTTGCCTGGTTGGGCCTTCCTTATATGTGAGGTAAACCATCTTTAAAATAAATCTAATCGTAAGCATAATCTGCCTAGGATGATTTTCTGTGCTATACCTGGAGCTTTGGTGGTTTTGTTCACCTTGCAAGTTGCAACATATAGCCATCATTAGTGGAATTATTCAGATAACCGCTCCTATTTTCTTCTCTGCATGGCCAAATATCCCGATAATTGGAGTTTAAGAAAAATCATATGAGTTTCTGCTGCCCCACCTTTAAAATCGTGTTGTTTGGGCATTTAAGTGTCAACTTCTTTTCTAATAAACTCTGTGTTTTCTGCCAATATGATGCCATAACGTGAGAGCCATTCCTTGAGATATGTTTCAAATTGTGCTTATAGTTAGACAAGTTGTTTGGTGACCCATGAAGTGTTAATGTGTATGATGCTCGTCTTGGTTAGGTGTGCTGGAGATTTGAGGGAAAGAAATATGAGCTTGCCAAGACGTTCAAAATGTCAATAATCAACCATAGATGGGTTGAAGATTGTATTAAGGAAGGAAGGCGTCTTCCGGAGGCTCCCTACGCATCTCAGTGGTATATAAAATACTGGCTTACTAGTTATAGCCATGTAGGTTTTCTTGGTTTGCATAGCTAGTGTTAATTTTGCCTGACAAATTTATTTGGACTGGAGTCTCAACTTGACCTTTGTTGTTCCCACTGGGGGAAGTTGATCCTCATCGCAAATGCATGCCACTTCAGTTGAAGAGAACTAGATAAAATAATATGAAATTTTGATAAGAGCGTGTATTGATTCTTCTCCAAAATCTGGAATCACTTTTGGACAATTATGTGCATATTCTGCTGGTGCTGTTTACTTGATTAGATCTTTATGTTTCTAGATGCCTACTCACAGAAATATTGCTGTTTAGCTATCTAATGGCTGTGAATCGAGAAAAAAAGACAAAAATTTGGCTAATCAATTTCTTGTTGCACTTATAAAAGAATTTCAAGAGAAAATGCATATGCATGACTAAATTATCATTTTCTGCTTTCTCTGGAAAAGTTTGACTGCGGTATTTATTTCTTTCATCATTTTTCTCGTGACAGTTAAATTTATCTTGTATCACAGTCATTCTTATTTCTTACTTTTGAAGAACACAAGTTGCAGACCGAGATGTCTTAGAATTAATTTGTTTTTGATATGGGAGATGCCATAGAATTAATTAACCAACATTTGATTTATTAGCCGAACGTAGCAATTTCTTTCTTTGTCATTTGCCTGTCTGAAAGCTGTGTATTGCTCATTTGGAAGTTGGTTGTATTGCTTTCTTATGATCAATCATATCTCCAGTTCTACAGCTGGAATCTTATCCCTTGGCATTCAATTATTTGCAGTGGGCAAGAAGTGGGTCCGATATTGTTGGATATTACACTTTTTAGCGAAAGTAAACCATTGAATCACTCCAAAGAACCAGCTATTCTTATTGAATCTGAAGAGGATTTCAACTCTTGGACGGATTCAACTTTATTAAAAGAGGTGCATTCATTTTTTCGTCACTGCTCTTTATCATTTTCATAACATAGATTGCACTTCAAAGGGTTAGTTCAAACTTCAAAATGTTTTTGTTTAACAGTTAAAGCTAAAAATTCCTTCTGGTTGACAAAATCCATTATCCGGCTGTTCCTGGATTTATGTATCAGTAGGAATATTTATTGATGCATGCTGTAAATGTTGTATGTCTTGGCTAGTTGTTATCAAAATCTAGGTCATTTATCACAAAGAGTTGGTGCAATATAGATCAGAAGTTGATCATGCACCAACCTCACTTCAGTATGTGCCTAGGTATTGGATATATATAGTACTGCAAACTAAGTGATGAGACACATCTTTATAAAATGATTATACAACATAGCTTCAATTTCTTGCTTTTATGCTACTGGTTGCAGAATTTGTCTCCTGAGCTGGTTAAACATAAGGATAGACCAAGGAGGAAATCAAATGACAGTATTCTGAACAAGGATCACCCGTCCAGCATCATATATTGTTCCGGAGAGCACTCTTTACAAGGCTCACGTAGGACAGAGGTAATAACTTTTTAGACAGTCATTATTTCATCCATTACTTTCCAGACTTTAGTTGATACTTTTCTTTTCCTCATTTTTTCCGTGTAGATTGAAGAACTGAATTTTCCCCCTTCAGCATTCCTTAAACCCAAGAAGAGAAGTTCTGAATTTGCTGAAACTTCTCGCAGAAGTCGTAGATTGGTGAAGAAGAACATTAGTGGGGATCTTGTGGAGATTATTTCAGGTTCAGAGAAACAGAGTCTCCAATTACAAGCTCTTCGGGAACATGAAACTTTAGCTCAAAGTTACAACTTGGATGTTGAAATGCCTGAAATCTCTATGATTAACAGGCATGGATCTGGTTTTAGCTGCCATCAGTCAGAGACGGAGCCAAGTAGAATAGGTGTAGATGGCACTGGGGAAACTGAAGTTAACAGACTCCTTGATAATGGTAATCAGTGTTTACATGCAGAAGGTATCTCATCTAATCTTACTGGAAATGGACAAGAGCCACGCCTAGCTGTTGATGAGGTCCAAAATGAGACTGACAAAACTTGCAAAGTGTCTACATCAACCGCGTTATCCTGTGTCATATGTTGGACAGATTTTAGTTCATCCAGGGGGGTGCTTCCCTGTGGTCATCGCTTTTGTTTCTCATGCATCCAGACGTGGGCCAATCATATGGTAAACCTTCCTATCCGTCTTTCTCAATTTGGTTTGAGGGGATGGTTTTTTTTTTTTCTCTTTTTCATTTTTAGCATGTCATCGCGATGAGATGTTTCCTCTACGCATGCAAGTGAAACTTTTGATTCTTGGATATTTGTTTTGTTTCAACTGATATTTTCCTTTCACAATGCCCTCATCATAGGCATCAAGCAGGAAAGCCTCAACATGCCCTTTGTGCAAGGCTAGTTTTGTTGCCATTACAAAGGTTGATGATGCAATTCCTGCTGATCAAAAGATATACTCCCAAACTATTCCGGACAACAATCCGGAAATGAACATATATATACTTCCCGAAGTTGAAACATCAAGGTTCCGTTCTAACGTAAGTTCACTGGTAATTTCTATTTTATATTGCAGTCTGGACTCTGGAGAAATCATCTCCTGTTTGTTTGTGTTGTACATTGATGTGGATATCTATGTCTCATCATTGTCATCAAAGAAAATGTATTATAACATTAGGTACCTTTTCTCTGTCCATGTGCCTTCTCTTCCTGTAGGTGCAGACAAATCATACTTGAAGCATTATCTAACTGCCTCGAGTCAGATGCATGAATAGCCCAAACGTTTCTCCTATTTGGTGCGATGAGTGTGACTGCAGTAACATATTAGATCCCTGTATTAAGCATTTCAGGTTTATAGATCAAAGTACGTGATTTTACTTCCACATCTTATGATACTCATCTGATTTTTCATATTTAGTATTTCAAAGTTTCTGTTACTCTCTTTCTGAAGCATGGTAACTTATAATATGACCAGTTCACAGCCGAGTTTGGGTTGTTCCCTTGGCACTGGAGACTTGTCAAAAACCAAAAACCAGGAACAATTTTACGGTCAAAAGCTTCTATCCAGTAAATATAGGTTGAAGCGAAAGATGTCCGTTAAAGTATTTCATTTGAAAATATGGAAGGAGAGTCGTCCTGAATGTTGGAGGTTACACCTTCTACCGAGAGTTCCATATGTATTGTCATCGTCTATCCTTAATGGCTATTTTATTGAACTGCCTTAAGTAAAAAGAGTAACAGAGTAGTACATCGAAAAGCTGCTCTTTAGGGCTTTAGTCTGGGTAGCTTTTAACTAAAATACAGATCTGTGATTTATTCCCTTATTCAATACAGCAACATGACAAGACTCCAGAGTAGGTGTCAATGCCTAGTTATTCTACACATTCTGATGATTTCCCTGAGTTGCTTTGACTTTCTTGCTAAAAGATGTTTCTACCTCCCAAACACCCCTGGAGAAGAACAGGGGTGAAGTATGTTTCGTGTTTGCATCTTGCATTTTGGTTTTCCGAGCTCACTTTCATTTGTCATTTTGATTATGTAGCCATCAAGAACTCCAGTTTGCTGTCGATGCTCTTGTCGAGAACCAGCGGACCTACTAGTCAAATGTCATCTCTGCGAGACTCTCTGTATTCATTCCTATTGTCTGGATCCTCCATTGCTTCCATGGACATGCATGCACTGCAAGGATCTGCAGAGGCTTTACCGTCGTAGTTGGTAGTTTGCATGCTTGGAGGCTTTCTTGGCTTGACTAGTGAAGTGAATTTTACCATCTCATTTGTACTATTTTTTTCCCCCAGAATAGATGCATATTCTTGCATTTTCTGCATGTGTAACAATAAAAGAACTACTACCTCTTGTAGTCCATTTTGCAACATACCTTGCCCCATCCTGAAAATCAATATGATTAGTGAGAAAGTTGCTTTACATGAACTCCACGACTGCCATTTGAAACCACGTTTTGTTCCTTTGGAGGAATCATCCAGACTTAAATAACTCTGAAAAAACTTTACCTTGGAATAAACCAACAAAAAGACAAAGTGAACTTTGTTACTCCTACTTGTTATCATCGGTCGAGCCAAGCACCTCTTGCCTGGTGCTTCTTCTGTTATAGGAATACCATAAAGTTTGCCTGATTGAGCAAATTAATAAGGATTTACCTATATAGTTTTTATATTATCAAGTGTAATCTCTCTCTATTTATATATATATATATATATATATATATATAGAAGAGGGAAATGGAAGAGTGATGCGGCACCTCTTGAATGCAACAAACCTATTTATCTTTTTTCACAGTTTTTTGCTTTTTTTTTTCATCTAAAAAACAGCAAAACTTTACCCGGTTTATCTCTTTCCTTATTAATACTACTCATTTATTAATCTCTCCATTCACTTTTACTTGTCCAGTATTCTAAAAATAGATTTTCATTTTCATATTTTCACTTGTCACATTTCGCATATCAAGAGAGACAATTTTTTTTTTCCTATTATACCCACAGTATTAATTACTCATTTCAAATTATTTTCTCAAATTCATTAAAAATATGCATCAATTAATATGAATATCATGGTAAATTATGCACTTCATTTATTATTTCTTAAGGGGTATGCAAAGTCTATAGTGGACAAGTAAAAGTGAGTGAAGTAGAATTAACCAAATAGCCGCTCACTCTGCCACTTAAACTAAAAATAGCCGGTGAATTTATAATATATGTATAATTTATGTATTATATGTGTATAATTATATATAATTAATGTATAATTTATGTATATGACTAGAAAAAGTAAATAATTAATATGGTCGGCTATTTGCGTAAAGATCTCAAAAGTGAACGGAGGGAGTATTACTTTCCTAGAATCTCTATATTTTCCTTGTGTTGCTTTCGTTTACTTCTTCCAAAAATGAATTAAATTCCACAGTTATGAGTATATTAATGCATTGGCCTTTTTCTTCCAATTCTCGCTTACAAATTCAAACTGCAGATGCTTTATTCCTTTCAACATGTTGGATCCTCTTCTCTTTCCTTGTAATATCCCCGTTGAAATGGATCAATAATTGCTTGGAATGAAGATGTTCTTGAATCTCTAACGTCAATGTATAGTAAAAAACCAAAACAATACTAAGACCAAGCAGGGCGCCCGACGTATTTTGGGGCCTAAAGCTAAATTTTAATGAGGGGCGTTAATATTTAATTTTTTTATTATTATTTGAAGTCAATTTTTCTAGCTTTTTTAGATGCAAAGTTACTAATAATTTTCTTATAATCAATTTCTCTTAATACGTCTTTCTCAATTGACAATATAGCTAACCCATTTAATTTCTCTTGAGACATTGTTGATCTTAGGTAAGATTTTATCAATTTTAATTTTGAAAAGCTTCTTTCCGCTGAAGCAACGATAACTGGAATTGTTAACATTATTCTATAAGCAATATAAGCATTTGGAAAAGAATCAAGTCTCTTTATTTGATTGAGTATATTGATTAAACTATTATCTTCTACTTGTACTATTTCCCTTAATACTTTCAACTCAGAAAATAAATCTAAACCATTAATATCGGATTGATTATTATGCTTTAAGAAAAATTCAAGATTAAGGCAATGTGTTTTTAAATTTTCATCATTTAGTGATCATGTCTTTCACCATTCACCAATTTTTGAATATAATGTGTAGTAGAAAAATGTCTTGAAAAATTATCATTCGAAAAATTTGTGTCAATTATTCTAATCGGTCCCTTTTCAACTAATAGATCTCTCAACTTTGTATCTACATTAGTCCATTGACTAGGATCATATATATTTATAGGAGTTGAATTATCTATTTTATTCATAAGCATCAATGTATTTTTTTGAGGATCTATTTCTGACTTGTCATTTACTTATTTTTTTTCTACTTGAATATTATTAATTTTAGAATTATCTAACTCAACCGAATTACTAACTTGCTCATCTAGAGAACACTCTCCCAAATTTTCTGATTCAAGATTTTTATTATTCAAGATGACAAGAGTGGATTGCTCTAGTGGTGAGCACCCTCCACTTCCAACTAAGAGGTTGTGAGTTCGAGTCACCCCAAGAGCAAGGTGGGAGTTCTTGGAGGGAGGGAGCCAAGGGTCTGTCGGAAACAACCTCTCTACCCCAGGGTAGGGGTAAGGTCTACGTATACACTACCCTCCCCAGACCCCACTAGTAGGATTATACTGGGTTGTTGTTGTTGTAATAAAAATTTATCAAGAGCACCTTTTTGAGATTATATTAGATTTTGAATTCTTCTTCTTTTCTTGAGTTTTTCATAACCAGATTCACACTTTCTATTTGACATACTTATCTTCTAATAAATAATCTAAAAATGCACTAAATAGCAAAATATTAAATTTTAGATGAGAAAATAATAAAAAGATAGAATAAATAGCAAAATATTAAATTTTAGATGAGAAATAATAAAAAGATGGAATGATAGAACCTGGTTTAAGAACGGATAGCTTGATATCAAATTAAATTTTCTGCTCGAGTATGCTTGTCGTAAGACTTGAATTATGAAAATAGAACAAACAAAAAACACTTCACTATTTCTTGAATCAATACACTGAACTCTGAAGTCTGAAACTCCACAATAATGCTTGATCTTTGGCTATTGAAGAATGGAGTCATGAATTGATTAATTGAAGAACAAAGTATAAAAATATAATATAGTGACATAGTGCTATTAGTGCATATGTTGTCTTCACTTTGCTCGACTAAGTTGTGCTCGGTAAAGTTATGGTCCACTATCTCAAATTTGTGTTCAAACTTCTCGATTCACTTTATAGTTTTTAAATATATATATATATAAAACCAAAAAATGGGCCCCCATAAATGTGTGGCCTAAAGCAATTGCTTTACCCGCTTTATGGACGGGCCGCCCCTTAGACCAAGAAGAAGTTCATCAATCTGCTTTATTTTTTGTGTCCTTATTTATCTTATTTATAGTCTAAGCTCATTTCGCACATCAATCTCCAATTTCAACCATCAATCTCAATCATCAACCATCAAGTTTCAGCTTCAATTTCAGTTATCATTCTTTAACTTCAATTCTCAACCTTCAATTTCTATTCTATCTATACTATATTACATTAGGGAACGTCAAATACCAGTCTTCAATTATCTATCTTTATTTTTCAATTTTCAAGTACAAACTTGTGGGCTTTAATTATCAATCCCTATTAATCAATTTTCAATTACCAAATTTCAATCGACAATTTCAATTTTCAATCTTCAATAATCAATTATCATTTTCAATCTATCGTGGACTTTAACTTTTCGTGGACTTCAATTGTGGATTTACTTTATGCAATGTGGACTTTAATTGTGGATTTACGTTATGCATTATGGACTTCAATTGTGGATTTACTTTTTGCAATGTGGATTTCAATTGTGGATTGACTTTATGTATCTTTACTTTTATGCACAGTGGACTTCAATTGTGGATTTTTCCTTCCCTAATTTACTTCCTTCTATGTGGACTTCCTTTCCCCCTTGTACATAATGTATATGGTGTATATAATTTTGTGGATGTGGATTTAATTTTTTAAGTGCTGAACATAAATATCAAATTCCTCAATTCCATCATATTTATATATTCAAAGTCGCTAATGAGTTTTCTAGTATATTTTGTTTCAAAAGATGACAAGATCAAAAGTTCGTGTCACATATCAAATCGTGGATCATATCTAAGCAGTGAACTGGGGCAATTGCTGAGGGTGGAGTTAAGCTCGTCAACAAGAGGTCAAAGATCTACTCCCTACTACATTCTCCAAATCCGCAGATATTTTCTTTTTTTTAAAAAAAAAAATAATAATTAGGGTCAACCATAAATCCCCATTCGAACTACATATTACATGATTCTCGTAAAGCCCGAGATACGTAGGCAACTCGAAAATCGGAGTTTGGCCGCAATCTTTCAAAATACCTTTCATTTCGGAAATAATTTCGATCCTTCCCTTAGGCATGCCCGCCTTTAATAGGACAGTTAGACTCGTTCGCCTTTAATAGGACATTTAGGCTTGTCCGCCTTTAATAGAACAATAGAAAGTCTACCATAAAATAGGACATTGAATCGAAATGATTCCATTCCAATATTTTTCCACATCCATATCATCCTTATCCTTTCAAGGGCGTATTTGTTGGCGGGACAAAATTGGCTACTACATCAATTTCTTTGCACGAAAACTCTTTCATTATTTGCGGTCAAAGAGGGGCAACTGCTGATACCCAATTTTATCTTACCTTTCTTCTTATTAATTTCTAGTGCTCCCTAATCATTAATAATATAATGATCTATTTTTCAGTTATTTATTACTGTTCTAGCTACTATTTATTATAACTATTATTATTAAAGCTATTACTATTATTACAAAAATTATTATTAATACTATTAGCATTATTATTAATATTATCGATAATATGACTATTATTGACTTAATTACTTATTTTAATATGTAGTATTACATATGCTTAAGGTATTTTTATTGAGCCCAAATTATTAAGAAAAGGGAGTCCAAAAGAAGTTAATTTGAAGAAGGAAAAAGCCATAAAATTTAGGGTGACTGGATACCATGAGAAGTGACCTTTACAAGTTCTTATTGAGACAGGAAGCACACATAATTTCATTGACCAGGACATGGCCAAGAAGTTAGGGTGTCAAGCCAAGAAGTTTGTGTCCTTTTATATATTTCAATCAAAAAAAACAAAAACAATCAGACTTCCAATTATCAAATTGTATACGGTCGAAATCGAGCTCGCCTACGATATGATAGGTTAGGCTCGGAACATGACAATCAACGGATGAAGATCAACCCCAAGTCCCACTAAGCTAGAACCCGGGGTCAGAATGCCTGCCTTCGAGAACGTTGAGTCCGTGATCCCGGAATCGACCCTAGCCCCGAACGAGCT